ACTACAAGATGGCAGATCCTATCTAGCCTACTACTACAATGCCGAAGTTGACGTCAACAGCTTCACCGAAGTACGAGCATATGCGGCCAATGCCGCTCGYCTCAAGCACCAGGTATGACTCCCGCTTCGCTCTCAACCCCGATCCTCACYGCACAGATGCCTCTAGCACCCAAGGACCAACCTGCGCCCAACCCAGCTTACAGCAGGCAGCGTGGCTATGGCTGCCTGCTTCTTCCACACTTGCCCGTGAGTGCGAGGGCGCCAGCCAGCAAATAGAGCAACAGCGCTCTCGCCGCATGCAGCCAGCACCCGAATGACAAATGAGGAGGCTGGCCCTTGCCTATATCCCGGTGGCCTGCCTGCGTCCAGTCCAAGAAGCTTCCAGTAGGCCCCGGTAGCCTGAGGCCCAGTCACGAGGAATGCAGGCATTGGGCCTGAAGTAGTTGCATGTGCCCAACTGCTTTCGGCCTGTACTTGGCCCGGTACCCGTACCCAGCCCAGGGCCTGCTTTACATTCATTCACACGGGCGGCCCAGGGGCTGAGTTCATTCAACCAACTGATGCTGTGCAACTGCCTGAATTTCCCCATTTGCGGGGGTACCCTGAAAATGAGGCCCTGAGGGCCTGTCGTGCCTGCCTTCACTTAGGGCGGCCGACCTTGTTGCAAATAAGGCCCGTAGGGCTAAGCGGGCATAGCCTCGCAATGTAGTGCCATCCACATTCGAGCTCAGGTCTGCATTTCAACAGTTCATGGGTGTTCCAACTGAGCTAGGCCCTTTGGTGGCTTCTGGCGATTTCAAATTCTGATACTACCGTCTTCACCCGAATAGAACGTCCGGTCATTATAGCTGTATTTGGGGCAACTTTCATCTAGGTACAGAGATAATTACCGGGCGTTCTATTCGGGTGAAGACGGTAGGACCATTGGAGGAATTTCCTCCCTCCCTCCCTCTGCGTGATGCTGTTTTGCTTCGACATGCAAGATGAGAAGGAATGTGCATGTGTAGAGAAAAAAAAGTCAGGCAAGTATACTGAGGCTGTTGTCGTTTCACCAGGTGGACAGATGACCAGTCGGAGCGAATTAGGAGGAAGAGAGCAATACCTCCACAAACCAAACGAAGAAGAAACACGAAAGGTGGTCGGAGCAATCATCGTGGCGACGACGGCACATGGCCCCAGAATCTGGCGACTTTGATCGATGACCCTCCAGTGGAGGATCTAGAATTCGGAGACGGAGACATCATGGAGGAGGATGGAACGAAGCGTTTGTCGAAGCATAATCCACACCCATCGTCTGTTTATGCACTGCATCGTGTTTTGGAGCCCCTGCCACCTTGTCGCCCACAAACACGTGTGCAGTTTCTGCCGGCATCACGAAGTCAAGATGGCCCAGAGGAAGATGTGCTCAACGCGGAGTCGCTGGTTGACGAAATCTGTAAGGCCAGTCAGTGTGGAGTTGATGGAGGTGATCAGGTCTTGAGAATTGAGGGTGTTATGCGCCCATGGATGGGAGTGTTATCGAGGCGGCACATGTCGAATGTTCTGAGAGAGTTGCTGGAACGTGGCAGGGTTAAGACCGCTGTCGATGTGTTTGCTTGGATGCAGAGTCGCGAACATCTTCGTCCTGACGAAAATATATGCAGGGTTATGATTGGCGGGATTGCGTCCAACGGAAACATGAACACGGCGTCGTTATTTCATCGAAATATAGGACTGGACCAGTCGTCTGAGACCTATGGCGCGCTCGTAAAGGCCTATGTTGAAGATGGCCTCCTGAGTGAGGCGCTGGCGACAATTGAATACATGGATAGCGCGGGGATGAAGCTCCACCGGTCGGTCTGTGCAAAGCTTCTCGTTGGATCGTACAAGTGCCTCACTGGCTCGATCGCGGCAACGAGGAGAGTGAATGCGATTGGAGAGACGAGGAGGCAAGTGGTGGACCTGACAATGCATCTCATCAGGGAGATGGCAGTAGGGGACAATGGGATGAAATTGACAGTGATGGAGTATAGTGCCATGCTACGTGCGTGTGGACAGGCTGGCCTACATGATCAGGTGGGTAGGCAAACATTTCCCTTCTCCATTCCTTACATATACACAGTAAAGGGGGAGCTAAAAGAAGAAGAAATGATCAAAAGAACGGACGGGTTTAGTGTGCTCTTCATGATTGTCTTCTTCTCTATTTCTGTCATTTCTTTTGCAAAATGCGCTCTTTTTTTCAGTCGATAGATACGTGACAATATATTGTTCTTCCTCTTCCTTCTTCTCCAATGATCTTCCTCTCTGCTTCTCTCAGGCGCTTCCTATTACCTTCCTCTACACCTCCGTCCCTCTCTTCCCCCCCTCGATCCCTCCCTCCCTCCCTCCCTCCCTCCCTTCCCCCCCCTCCATCTTTCGTTCCGTTTCCACCTACCTATCTTACGTCACTTCCTTCTTCTCTTACTACCCCGATTCATCTCTCCATTGGCTTACCTGTCGCCCGCTCTTCTTCCCACGTCTCTGCGACCCTCCTTTGGTGCTCACCCTGCCTTCTCTTTCTCCATCTGTCCCTTCATTCATTTCTCCCTCTACCCGTCATTTACTTCCCTCGTCTCACGGGCCCTCTTTTCGTTTCCGCCATCCCTTTCTCAATCTGTCCCTCCATTTCTCCCTCTCCCTGTCATTTACTCGTCAACTTCCTCCCTCCCTGCTTTCCTCCCGCCCTTGCCTCCCTATCTCCCCCTCTTTCCTCGTCCCCCCTTCCCTCGCTTGCTTTCTCTCTTGTGCCTCCATCCATCTCTCTATTTGTCAGTTGCCACTCCCTATTCTTCCCACCTCTCTCCCAACCCTCCCTGCCCCATCGGTCTCTCTATCCGTTTTTAATGTGTGTCATGGGCCATGCCAGTCTTCTCTGTATAGTTCCAGTTTTAATGGATGTACCCGGGCTCATGCGCCCGATCCTCAGTAGATCCTAGTACAACATTGATGTGCTTATCGGCAGTTCACGTGTGTGTAACACTGGGTATACAATTCACCCAACAGCCCAGTACTGAGAGAGGGGTGGGTCATTGTCTTCGGACTTCGAAGTTCACAGCTTCGAACAGCAGAAATTAAAAATGGCAGTCCCTTTTTCTGTTGTCATCACAGTGTTCCTACCGGCTTCCCCCGAACACAACGCACCCTCATTTCGGCTGCACCGGATTGGAAGCATAGGTTGCATATCAGGGTGCGTTGTGTTCGGGGGAATACGGTAGTACTGCGAAGATCGACTCCAGCACAACAACATCCTTGTGCTGCTAACACAATAAACCTCGCAACGCTGCTACCGTATTCACCCAAACATTACAGACGGTAGTACTCGGGGGAATAGAACGCCCGGTCATTACAGACGTATTTGGGGAAACTTTCAGTCCAGATTCAGCCATGATGACTGGGCGTTCTATTCCGGTGAAGACGGTAGTGTCCAGTGAATCGCTTTGTCTTTTTGTCATCTTCACAGTCCCAGGTTTGCCAGACGATATCAGTTGGGCCCATAAAAACTCCTCTGTTTTTCTTGTTTTGTGGTGTCGTTGCGGTACCCGCACAGGTGAAGCCTCTGTACCGGGCCATCAAGTCCGCATGCGGTGAGCATATGAATGTGGTCGTCTACACTGCGGCGATGACTGCGTACTACAAGACGAAGAACTATACAGAAGCCGCACTTCTGTTCTGGGAGATGGAGCAAGCTGGGTGCTTACCGGACATGCCGGCTTTTCATCTCATCATGAAGGTCTACTGCAAGACGGGCAATTTGTCGAAAGCGGAACGGGTGCCGAAGCGAATGCAAGACCTCGGCCTCCAGCCAACGGTACAGATCTATAACTACTTGATTGATCTCTATGGTCAGCAGAATCAGCTGTTGCCACGTGCTCGGCAGGTATTGAACCAAATGAAGGCGTCCGGATGCCTGCCCAATGCGGGAACCTACAATCGACTGGTGGAATCTCACAGAAGATGGGGCGCCCTGGACGATATGATGGATCTTCTGGCGGAGAAGCGCCGAGCTGGCTTCTTCACTACAACGTAACCTCTGTAAGCAGAAGTAACTGCCTTATGCGGTGTTTCCTGCCTGAATGTGTCTATTGTACCAGGAGGGGCTACCTGATTAGGTAGGATTCATCCAAGAGAAGAAAATGCAGAAAATGCAGAAAATGGCAAAAAAATGCAGGTATGCATTTTCTTCTGTGTATCGTCGTTCCAAACTTCCAGTTTTTAACGGATCAAGGATGACACGCATAAATCGAGAAATTCTGAAATGGTCCGATTTTTTTAGAAAAGAGAATGGAGAGATACTCAGGTACATAAATTTTTGTCCCAGAATGACAACTGCACCTGTACCCCCTTGTGTCTGTAAAAATTGGGCAGCACAGCTTGCAGCGATAACCTCAGGAGAGAAGACTCGAACGCGCAAGTAATTATGTGGTAGACTCAGGTCGAGGTGCGCCCACAGCTGTACATAATCTGGGGTACAGATTGTATCCAGTCCACTCATCGTTTGTGACTGGGACGTTTTTGTCTGTTGCCTGCTCTCTTTTTTTCTTCCCCGCGTTGTTCTAGAGTTGTGTTGGAGGACATGAATGTCTCTCACTACTTTTTGGGATTTCTAGCCTCCAGCTGTACATTATTTTTGGCACGTCTCCCAGGCCAACCGGGCATTCGTGCCTTCACTGTGGTCGTTTTCCTTTTCCCTCTTTCAAGTCATTTCCAGAATGGCATTGGGAATTTGGGATTGTATTGAAAACTTGAATTTTGTAGATCATGATTCATGATTAAGGTTAAGAAACTTTATTTAGATGTTCTGATTGTTGAAGATGGTAAAACATGGAGTGTGCCCCAGATCAGTAAGCCAAATTCTCTGCCACCATCCATCCATAGTGGGCAAGAGAAGAGCACCTCCTTTTCCAAAAAACACCGTCCCGAACCCTCCACCGTCCATGCTTCTGCTCTCTCTCTCTCTCTCTCTCTCTCTCTCTCTCTCTCTCTCTCTCTCTCTCTCTCTCTCTCTCTCTCCTGCTCATGAGCTCAATCGTTTGAGCTTCATGGTTCTTTCAACTGTGCTGAGCTCGTCTCTCTTGTTGTTGCACAGTGAAGAGTCAGTCGGTTGCATCATTCGGCCCTCGCACGATATCACAAGGCTCAGCCTTTTACTGTTGATCTGCATGTTGATGAACGTCCCGATGCTTTTCTTCTCTCAATGCATTCTGAAGCTTGTCCACCGTTCCGGTACTTTGCCCTTTTCGTTGTCGGAAGGGGCAAGGAATGCCAAATTTCGAACCCCTCCTTGTCCTTCTTTGTCAATGCGATTCCAGTCATATCTCGGACATCGTGTCTACAATCTGATCTTTGAACTCGTTTGGGCAGTGCGAGGTAGTGACATCAGCAAAGAGTTTTTGCAGACAGCACAGGTCATGGTTGTGCCTTTGCCTAATATAGGGATGAGCAACAAGAAGAAGAAGAAGAAGAAGAAGAAGAAGAAGAAGGAAGAAGAAGAAGATCATTTGACGCCTGCTCACAGGAAAGCGCATGACGATCTGAACTTGTAACGTGGTGTTTGCGAAAAGCAGTTACGATGCAAAACAGCAAGTGTTTTTTTTTTTTTTTTTTTTTTTGAAGTGTAATAAATTATGCAACATTGTACTTAAATCCTCTGGTTTATGATCAAAGGGTGGAAGCATGATTAATGAAATATTCGTAAGGGAGGCCATGACACAGCAGCGCACTCTCCGCAAGTCCGATTCTGAATTTGTAAGCCTGCTCCTCTCCGAAAAGTGTAGGAGGCCGAGCGCCGGAGATAAAATGAAACGGCGGCGGGCGGCCTCCGAAAGGGGGCCGCGGCCGATAGCTGGCAGGTACTGATGCTTTAAACCACCAGTACGTTTCCCAGCCGTTTTTATCCGACGCAGTATATGCATGGAGCCGCAACTTTCGGGGGTCAGCCTACTGGAGCAAAATGGCTGGCGGCACAGGCCGCGCCGGTTTGTCTTTTTTTGGCAAGGTCTGGGTAAAGTCCCAAGCAAGGTGCTGGCACACAAAAAAAAAATGATCAAAGACATCCTAGCATGGCTACGCCGGACCCGGACCCGGACAGCACATGTCTGGGGACCGGACGCATGTCCAGTCGTCCGGACTTCCAGACACATCAGGGCGCCCGGACATGTATGGTTCCGGACGGTCCTGGCCGGTAAGCAGGTCCGGAAATGTCCGGACCGTAAAAATAAAATAAAATAAATCTGAAAAAGAAGTATGTCATGCAGAATAAAAATACAAACCACTTTTGTCTCAGAGTCATGTTGGAACGCTTCAGTTAAAAGTAAAAAACTATCAAAAAGCTCAAAGAAAGTAATAAATTATTAATAAATTAAATTAATTAATAACAAAACAACGGCTATGTATAATAAATTATTATACACATGGACCATATCCGGACCCCCCAAAGAAAGAAAGACGGGCCTGAACCCCCCCCCCAAACAAACTTGGGGGCTTGGCTCCCCAGTGGGGAAGGGTCGTGGACCGTTTTTTTTTTTTTTTTTTCCCCTTGAAATTTAGCATATCTGGACGTCTGGAGTCCAGACTGAATCCAGACCATCTCGTAGCCATGCATCCTAGGTTACCAGAGGGACCTGGGATCACTTGGCCAGCCGGGCCAGAAATAATTAAGGAATAAATGAATGAATAAATAACTTAAAATAAGTACTTCACTTCTTCTTCTTTTTTGAAGTATTTCTTATTTTAATTTATTTAATGTATTTTACTATTTTTGTTTTGTTTGGTTCTCTCTTTTTTTGGCAGGGACCTTGCCTGGCCTTTCCTGGGCCGGACCGCCTGGACAATCAAGGTGACCCAAGCAGCCCGGTTGGTAGCCCAGAAGAAACACGACAAAGAAAGCTTTTTTTTTTCTTTTTGGGTTGGGGGGGAGGGGGGGGAGTGTACTTGCTCATGTGACCTCGTTCATTCTAGCCTCAGTATGTCTCCTGGTGCACCCCCTGTTCCCCTGTCTGTACCCCTCAGGCTTAACACTCAGGTCGTCTGTCCCCCTCCCATGATACTACCCTGCCACTCCACCTTATGGTGGGCCCTATAGCCCACCCACCAGCCGCGATTCAGGGTTGTGTACACCCCTAACTCTCGCTCACCACCCTCCATGGTAATGCCTTCACACAGTGACGCTTCTTTCATCCCCCCCTCTACCTTTCTCAGCGGATGACCCTAGCGGACAGGACAGCAGTCCCAGGCGTCCGCGCTCGGCAGGCAAACCCAGCCCTTGTTGAAGCCCTTTTTCCTTTTTGGGTTGGGAGGGAGGGGGGGGAGTGTACTTGCCCGTGTGACCTCGTTCATTCTAGCCTCAGTATATCTCCTGGTGCGCTCCCTGTTCCCCTGTCTGTACCCCTCAGGCTTAACACTCAGGTCGTCTGTCCCCCTCCCATGATACTACCCTGTCACTCCACCTTCTGGTGGGCCCTATAGCCCACCCACCAGCCGCGATTCAGGGTTGTATACACCCCTAACTCTCGCTCACCACCCTCCATGGTAATACCTTCATACAGTGACGCTTCTTTCATCCCCCCCTCTACCTGTCTCAGCGGATGACCCTAGCGGACAGGACAGCAGTCCCAGGCCCCCGCGCTCGGCAGGCAAACCCAGCCCTTGTTGAAGCAATATAGAACAAGCCTCCTTGCTCGGGCACTCCGGATGCTACTGTAGGCGTGATGAGGCCCCATGAGAACATCGTGTGGCCTCCATCAGAGGCCGAGCCCAGAGTGCCCCTACTTCAGCTCTACCACAGGCAGTGTCTAACACCCATCCGACCAAGGTGTTACATGCCCAGTTGGGCGATGTACATAGAAACCGAGGATCCGCAATGTGATAAAAAGGACTGAATGGACAATGCAGTGCAAGTAGATCTCAACAAGCAATGTGCATTCCGATACATACAAAATGGTGCTGAATAGCGCAGTGGAAGACTTAGATACAAGTCCTGACCTGACCGGGACTGACCTCATTCACGTAGTATAGGATAGCGAAGCAGAATGCTAGAATGCTAATGACTAGCCCAATCCATGTTTGAACGCAGACCAAACATACATCGTGTCCATCACAAAGTGTGAAGGAGCCTGGCGCTGTACACAGGAAGGAAGCGCCAGGTCCAGACATACACAGACGAAGAGGAGGGGATCAGACGAAGAGGAGGGGGAGAGATGGGAATGTCGTCAACACCAAGTCTTTGTCACCCGTCCCAAATAATCCCTCGTTGCAATGTCTGAAGCCAAAAAGTCGACTCTGGATCCAATGTCACCAAGCTCTYTCTCTCTTCTCTCGTTGTCTGCTGATGCAGTGAAGTCAGATAATGAGAGGGTGAGAGGGAGATGGTGGACTGAGAAGAGGAAGAAGAAGAGCTCTCTCTCTCTCTGTTATGAGCCAGGTACTAACCTGTGAAGTTGGCGCTGTGCTGCAGGTACCTCGAAGACGAAGCTGGAGCAACGGCGCTGCAGGTAAGTACCTCTGGCCTCCGCCCGATCTCTCTCTCTCTCTAGTGCTATCCTAGCTATGGCGCCCAGCGCTGGAGACTACAGCTACCTACTGCGCCCAGCGCTGAAGACTAAGGCTAACGCTACTACTACTCCTGCAGCGCTCCCTCCAGAGTTCTGCTGCCTAATCCTGAAGACTACTGCCTCCTGCCTGCCCGTGAAGTGCATGGGAAGTTCCTATGTACTACCTCGGCCTGCCTCCTGACTGCCTGAAGGGCGAGCCAGGCCGAGGAGGCTGCTCTTGCCAATGCCGAAGTGTGCCAGGGGCTGGAGCTGCAGCCTCTGCTGAGGCTGTCGTGGGAACAGGCTAAGAATAGCCTGTTCCCGAAACCCTGGTTCGGTGCCTGAGTTTCAGGGCCGGTCGTTCTGATTCAGGCTAAGAAGGCTATTGCCATTTTTAGTCTGAAACGACACAGGGTCTGTAGGCCTCTGTTTTTCAGGCTTTCGGGCTGAACAGACACGGGGCCTGTAGGTCCTGGTTTTCAGGCTTTCAGCCTGAGGGACGCAGGGCCTGGAAAATGGCCCTCGTGTGCAGGCGCAGCATGTAACATCTAACCTGTAAGAGAGCCCTACCCTAAAAAAGCACTTCACCCAGCACAGCCGTAATCTGCATGTTCCGCTGGTGAGCTACCTCGGTAGTCTGTAGTCTGTCAGGTTGGTTTGCATATTCCATTGCTCAGCTACTTAAGCGGTCTACGCTATGCATCTGTCTGCACTCTGCACTAGTCTCGCGATATGTGATGGCTGGGAATCTGAATATCTGTTGTACCACATACATGTTCTATTCCACGGGACTCGTCTAACTGAGGGGTAGCGCCAGCGGTGAAGTACGACGACGAATAGCAATAGATGGCGCAGCAATCTGGGTGTGGGATGGAGATGGAGGGGGAGCTACAACGGGAGCAGTTCCACTAGAGGATATGCTCCTCCATAATGAAGACGACCTCTTGCTTGCAGAGGATACTGAAGGTGACCAGGATGATGATTTTGACATGTCCCGCTGCCTTACAAACCTCTGCGCTGTGCGTGAGAGCTGGGATTTCGACAGTGAGACGAGCTGTGATGTTGCTGTGTGTGAGAGTGACGAGCATGAGGGGGGGTCAGGAGACAGGTGGGTTAGCTTGATGGCACTCTCCTATCCGGTAGAGGATGAGGGTGCCGCAGGTGATGGAGAGAGGGGTTCTGCCACTGATGACGCAGGTGAGTGGGAGGTTGATGATGAGAGGGTAGTTGGCGATGGTAACGCAGGTGAGTGGGAAGGGGAGTGGGGGCTATTGGCATTGGTGGAAACGGCGGCAACAGCAGCGGCGGCGGCAACAGCAGCGGCAACGGCAAAAGCAAGAGCGAACACAGCAATAGTAACAACAACAATATCAACATCAACAATACTGGAAGTGGAACAGGGGTGTAGGGCTGACATGGTGGTTGTGGTAGATGACAGGCAAGGAATGGGTGAGATTGACAAGAAGGGTGGGATGGGTGACGATGACAGGCAAGGAAAGGGTGCGATTGACAAGAAGGGTCGGATGGGTGACAATAACAACGACAACAACAACAATAACGGCGGCGAGCGGCAACTGTGCGAACTGGATCAGACGGGCGTGAAGGAGGATAACAACGACAACAACAACAACAACAATAACAATAACAACAACAACAAGAATGACGGCGTCAGCAACAACAACAACAGTAACGAGAACAATGATGGTGATCAGGGACTCGGGGTAAAGGGCGAGGAGGGGGGGAAGGACGACACTGTCAACAACAACAATGGTGATAACAACAACAACAACAACAACAACAACAACAACAACAACATCTACAATGGCAACAGTAATAGCAACAAGAACGACAACAATTACGACGACGGTGGCGGTGATAACCATGGGGGCAGAGGGGCAGGGAGTGGAGCTTTTGCATCCAAGCTCCTTATCAGCATCATGGGAAAGACGCTGCCATCAGTAAAGTGGAGGAGAATTAGTGGTTTGTTGCGGCTGGTGAAGTGGGGTTTCTGGTTGGAGGTAAGATTTACGGTTCCCCCCCACCCCTAGCAGGTGTTTTCTCATGACGAATCGAGTTTTCTCTTCTGGTGCCGGGTGGGGATAGGATAGATGATAGCTCTGAGATGATTTGCCTTGATTGCCTCTCATCTTCCTAATCCTCAACGCTTTTACGAGCAGGAGGTCAATCCTTCCCCTGGGTTGGAAGTAATCAATGCCCCTGCTCTGTTTGGTGATACAGGTGAGCCAAGTGCAAGTGCATATATGGTCGGCTTCCAGCTCACATACAGTACATCAACCCTGGGGTTTCACTTTATATCGGGGTTAGGGTTTGACGTTAGGGTTTGATGTCTGGATTGTTTTACAGAATTGGGCCTCATGCCCTGCTTACAATGATCCTATGCGGGGGTAGGGGATAGGGTTTTCCCTTCATGGGAAAAGTATAAATCGATAATGGATTGATGTACGTATACAGACAGCTTCTGACTGTAGGACATGATAGGTTCATCTGGCACAGATTGCTTAACGTGCATGCATAGGTAGTTGGAGACATCGATACACCTCTACATAGGGCCGCTGGACCCGATTTCCAGCAGACTCATACATATCCTCGTACAGAGACGCTGGACCCGATTTCCAGCAGATAAGACAAACAGATTGGACAGTATCGGGCTGTAGGACATGATAGGTCCATCAGACAGATTCTTCCAGTAGATACGACAGACAGATTGGATAGCGTCTGACTGTAGGACATGAGAGGTCCATCAGACATAGATTGCTTAACGTGTGTGCATAGGTAGTTGGATATACCAATACATCTCTGCATAGGGACGGTGGACCCGACTTCCAGCAGAATTCATTCACATCATTGTACAGGGACGCTGGACCCCATTTCCCAGCAGATACATTCACATCACTGTACAGGGACACTGGACCCGATTTCCAGTAGGTCTAGCTCCCCACCAATAGATGGAGCCTTCGACGCCAGGACCTACTTACCGGGGATGTTCTTATCACCTCGTTAAGTAGGTTTCCTGTACACGAAGTTTCAAAAAAAAAAAAAAAAAAAAAAAAAAAACCTGAAACAGACAAACAGACAACACAAGCAGACAAGACAAGCAGAACAATCCTGCCTCCATCATCGAAGGGAAGAACCACAGACTGATCCGGGTGGAGTTAGCGGCCAGTGGCCGGTACCCGCCAAGATACTCGGCGCCAATCGCATCCACCACCAACTTCCTCCATCCAAACTGCATCCGTCCTCCCCAACTCCGTCCGCATAAAGAACTCTAGAGGACCTCATCTCAGCAGGGGTTGAGCACCATCATCACCTTGAAATTTTTTGCCCCCACAAGAATTCCAGTCTCCGTCCTCAAAGAGGTGAACCCCCAATGCCAACCGCACCAGAGTTCTTCCTTATCAGCCGGTACCCATCAGACAGCCTAAACTACCGGACGCCAATCGCATCTGATAAGAGACTCCCCCTAGCCGGTACCCATCGAGCAGCCCTATTCCATTTCCCTCTCCGTCCTTGCAAAGAATCATTTCATGCCTCTTGCCCCTTACTTCAAAGCAGGTCCAGGATAACTCCACAAGATGCTCCACAAAGTACTGCAAAGATGCTCCACAAATTCCTTACCACATCACACACATGCCCCCGCGAAACTACAGCTCCCCCTTCTCTACCCTACAAGATGCTCCACAAAACAAAACCCCCCAATCCTGGTCAACGACTGTGAATTTGTACCGTATACCAAGTGAAGTTGTGAAAAACCACCGCCGTGATAATCTCCATGTACCGGCTGTGGTTACCCACAAAAATCCTCCCTCTTCCCTCTTTACCCTACTCCACTCCAGCAAGAGTTACCATGACTAAGCGCCGCCGTGCCCTTTTTCCATCCAACTGGCTAGCCCCCTGCACCAGCAAGACGCGTTATATCCTCCCTAACAACTCCCTCAACACCACCTCCAGGTCACTCCAGCTCCCTCTGGGACTTGCAATTTCCTTACCACATCAAGCACATGCCCCTGCAGAACTGGAGATCCCGAAATCAATCCTGTCAAACCCCTTGACCCCCTCCCCCAACTGCCATGACTGATCCGATCCCCAAATCAGCCCCGCTCTGAAAAGGTAAAGCCCGCAGCCTTGGAAATCTAAGATATCAATACAGTACTTCAGGAATTTACAATTTCAAACTGGAACTCCAACAGCTAAAGTTTCGGCTTCTCGCCCTTCAAATCAGAAGAAAATCAAGAGCAAAAGGCATAGCATGAAAAGGATTGAAAATTTATTAAGCATAGAATTTCGCTCAAACTTTAAAAATCCATTTACAAGTCAGTCTGGGTAATCGTCCCTTGAGATCAGAGCAAAAACTCTGATTTACGAATCTTCAGACTAAGAATGTCACTCAGAAGAAGATGGCTCATAATAAATCGATTGCAATCAAGGTTTAAAAATCCTTTAGGAATGAAAGTCAAAAAACGCAATTTCAAAATTAAAATCAGGCAATCACAATCAAGCAATCAGGCAACCAGACAATCAGACAATCAAATTTGGATTTCAGAATTATTAACTGGTTATCACCAAAATTAGACATACAAAAATGAATTATGAGATTTTAAGAAATACCAAGCAATCTGGGGATTATGAACGTTGAAAATCCCTTCGATTAATCGTTACGGAGCAGTAGGAATGGACTAGAACTTTTAGTAATGTTATCCCAGCAAATCAAGACGGGCACAAGAGAAGGCACACCTCACCCTAAACAAACCATCGACACACCCCTCCCCTTTCCAAACCTCACCTCCTTGCCTCCATCGACTTTCATGCACCTGGCCACCCATGGTCGACTGCACTATTCAGCTACCTCAAAAGGGTCGGGCGATGAAGATAAACGGACCGTCGCTCAGATCACCATCACAACAGTCCAAACCACGTCGCGAGACTATGGTGGTATTGTGCAAGGTATGGGGGATAGGTTTGCTGCGGGTGGACATCATTGGTAACAATGATACCCCTTCATCTTTTTGGACTACCTGCGAGGGGGCGGCTGGCACGTTGCTGTTTTTCCTTTCTTTCTCGTTTTGTTTTTTTCTCCTTGGCCCTGCCAGCAAGGCAGTGCATATTCCTCTGGTTCTTTTTTTGAGAGTCCAACAGTCCTGCTCCTAAAAAAAAGACAGGCGCGAATTCTTCGAGACCCTGCGCCAACAAATCCCCGTCGGAGTGCCGGTAATTGTAGCCGGTGACTTCAATGCAGCCCCTAATCGGACGTTGGATAAATGGAGAATCCCCACCCCCTGCCCCCCGTACATAGAGATTGATGAAAGGATCATCGAAGAACTGAACTCCACCTTGCACCTATTCGATTCCTTCAGAAGGACCTTCCCCACGGAAAAAAAGTATTCTTGCTTCCGCATAACAGGGGCTGAAATCTGTTCTAGATCCGGAATCGATATGATTCTTATGTCGGAGGACAGGTGCAATGCAGTTCGCCTACTTGCTCCCTCGTAGTCCCTTTATGGGGCTAGACCATGTTTTGTCTCGTAGTCCCTTTATGGGGCTGGACCATGCTTTGTCTGGAATCACTCTTACCTTCCGCCAGCGATCGGATTATAGCCCAGGCTTCGTCAAACTCGATACCTCTCTCCTTCGTAAGCAAGATTTCGTGCAATCAGTTCAAGATGCATGGGCCTATTGAAACCAACAGAAAAAAACACTTTGATTATGAAATCTTATGGTTCAACAATGGGCTATTCTATTTGGGTCGTAAGTGCAAAGAATTATCGAAAAAATTGTCTGCACAGCGTTACCAAGAGGAAATGAACATTAAATCTCAGATTCAAAATCTACAACAACAGGACCCTATCCCTCACCTTAAGACACTCCAGAATAAACTGCTAGAATTTGCAACTTACAGATGGCATGACATAAAGATCAGAGGTAAACTCTCCAAACATAACACCGAAGGATCCATGGATTCTGATTTCTTTGGCCTGGCAAGGACCAGGGCAAAGAGACAGAACATTGAGGCTTCTTGGACCCCATCGCACCGGAGAGGCTACTGACCACGTCCACTCCACAGTGTATGAAGGTGGTTAGGGACTTTTACAAATACCTTTTTACTTCTCGCACCCAATACGATACCGCCTTCACAAGGGATAGAGAAATAGAGGATTTCCTCGCCCCCCTCTCCAAATCGCTTCCCCACCAGTTGCAAGAGGCATTAGATCGCTCGATCATCAAGGAAGAGATATGGGCGGCTCTTATGCAGATGGAAAAAGAGAAGACCCCGGGAGTGGATGCTTCCTGAAAGAATGTTGGGAGACTTTCTGGACCTTGATGGCAGAAGACTTGATAATATTTACTGTAGGGTGTGGGAGGAGGGTGAGATGGGGGAAGCGGTGGGCCAAGGGGTTCTCACACTACTATATAAAAAAGAAGATAAAATGAATATCCGCAACTACCGAGCGATCGCATTGTTAACTGTGGTTTACAAAATCTTATCAAAAACATTAGCAAACCATATCGCGCCGACATTACAACAACGCATCCACCCTTCACAAACGGGCTTCCTTAAGGGGCGACGCATCCAGGATAACATCCTCCTGGTAAATGAGCTATTGAGGCTATCTTAACAGTCTAAGTGTAACGCCGCCTTCCTTTTCATCGACTTTGAGAAAACATACGACCATGTGGATTGACATTTTCGGGATAAGTGCCTGGAAAACATGAACTTCGGGAAAACCTTTAAGAGGTGGGTGAGGATACTTCATCAAAATGCTACCACTCGAGTGCGGATTAATGAGAACCTTGCTCCGGACTTTCCGCTTCAGCGATCGGTCCGCCAGGGCGACCCGATAGCACCGTATCATTTTGTGGTAGTGATGGAGGCTCTAGCGGCCAACCTTAGGGCCAACAAGAATATTAGTAGGATTCAGACATCCTCAATCCCACAGGAGCCAATACGAATATGTTCCTTATTTGCAGATGACCTCACTCTGATTGTAGAAACCTCAACACAAAATATGGAAGACATTGAGAGCTTGGTGACCCGGTTTTGCGCCCTCTCTGATATGGCAATTAATTGGGGCAACAAGACATTGAGATGGTGGATGCACCATGACGGTGGAAGATCCCCAGCGCGACCCAATGTGACATGACTTCCTTTAGAAACCCCCATCAGAGTCCTACGAATCTCACTTTCAGGCGAAGGAAAGCCAACAAGTAAC